ATAATAATAATAATAATAATAATAATAATAATAATTATAATAAATAATAATAATAATAATAAATAATAATAATAATAATAATAATAATAATGGTAGTAACGATAATACAAAATAGTAAATAATAATAAATCTTTAATAACCTCCATATTTTCATCTGTGAAAAAATCCATCAATTCTTCATGAGTAGTAGAATCAGGTAAATTTCCGACCCAAAGGGCCTTATCCAATTGTTTGGGTTTCTTCTGCTGACTTATTCTTGGAGTATGCTGTGGACCTAAATCAGGGGTTCTGGCCTGATCCAAAGAGCTTCTTCGAGAAGAGAAACCTGAATCACCACCAGCAGTACTAGGAGGGTTAAGATATCTTGCAGGAAGCGATTGAGGTGGGATTAAAGGAGGGCTATGAAAAGATGGATGAATAGGAGGTATAACGGATATTGGGTGATAAGGATAAATATTCGATCTGACAAAATGCTGAGCAGGCGGTGGTATTTGTGGAGGACGACCAAATCTGTACTGAGGATCGTAGTAGTATTGTCCATTATTAGAAAAAAACGCAGGAGTAAAATATTGAGGTGAAACCGGTATGAAAGGAGTGTTGGAACCCAAATTTTGATACATCTGGGGAATCTCATCATATGCTGGCCCGGTACCATTAGAACAGGAATTGTTAGTATTGTTCGAGACGGTTGTCGTATTGGAGGAGCCAGCGGCAGAAGCGGAGGATGAGGACGCGGGATTACTGATTTTTGTTGTGGTCATGTTAATTAAAGAACTAAACAAGATTGAATTGTGGTGTTGATACATAGTAGAACAAGATTGGGTTTCAACAACCTTTGAGAATTACCGTTGATACTCTGCTTCCGAAATACCGAGGTCTCATTTTCTTGATCATATTCAGTAACACCATTATTAACATTACTGCCACCAACATTATTTTTTGAGCCACCCAATGGAATATCATCGGCACCAGAAATACTGTTAGTCGTAGTAATGTCTTTATCTGACAAGCTCTGATGTGCATTTACAGGAATTGAAATGTCTTTATCAATTTTCTCACGCTGACGTCTAGCTACGTTCGCTTTTATCTCTTGGCTTGAATCAGCTGTCGAACTAGGTTCGTTTTGTGATTGTTGTCCCTGAAAACTTGGATGGGTCGAAGACGCGGTCTTTTTAGGGGCAGTTGTGGTAGTAGGTACATTTTCTCGCGACTCCTTAGTTGTCGATGTCGATGTAGTCTGTTGCGATTGAACTTCAGTCAACTCCTCTCGAGACATGATATACTATAGCGTCGTAGCGTAAAAGTAATACTTCTGAATATTTAAATAACTGCCCTTTTTTTCGATATAATAGTTATTTATCTTTAATACTTATAAACACGAACAAATAAAAAGCACCCGACCGTTTCTGCATATACCAAATAAGAAACAACACTCCACCTCCGAAATTTTTTTTAAAAAAAAAGAAAGAAAAAAAAATTATACAAAAAAATAATAAAAAACCCTTTTTAAAGAAATTTCAGAGTTCATTTGATTTTCGTCTGGCTCATGATTAATT